AAAAGCAGAAAGAGGTGTCATCTGACAGGAAAACGTACAATTCAAACTATCCTCTAAGTCCTTTCTATTTTCTCGAGACGTTTAATTGCCATTAAATTATAATGACTGGTTTTTAAAGAAAATTCTTCACGCTGGAAATTTACCGTATGGAAAGTGACGAGTCTGGATATTCTTTTCCATTGTATTCCACGAACGGTAAAGTGCCTTCCAGAGAACGTACAAACCAGTTACACACATTCTAGAAATAGTCAAGTAAAATTATTTTATCAATTAAATAAAGGTTTTCATCAATCAATTTTCGCGAGTTTAAGAGAAATGTTGCTACAAGTTTTTAATGATCGGGCAAAATTTCTTCTCTGGACTTTTAAAACTTTCTAATCGGTAAGGTACCTCATTATACCTCATCTTGCTTCACAATTCGCAACTAATGAATGGGGTGTTGCTGCCTAAACATACACAAGGAACACCATAAAGCAATAAAGCTTTCCCAAACACTTTTCTGTTGGAGAAACACTGAGCTAAAAACTCCTTTAGAAAACGAAACGAACGGCAGAATTGGCTGCAACCTGACTACAGGCGGTACAGCATTGGCCAAAACAGCAAGAATAATTCCAAACTTCGTAGTTGGAGAACTTAATTAATTGAAATGGTGTCTGATTAAACTGTTCCAAACAGGTACCATGATATTATTTCATTTTCTATCTCACTGTTTCGGAAAAAACAAACAGTGGCGGGGAAAAGTGCAGTGATATAGAAACGGTTTCCCATTTCTCATATCTAAAAAGTACGCTGGGGCACACAATGATGGAATACAGGATGTAGTTATAGCATTACTTCGAACCTCGTACTGTATGTCGGCCATGCGGAGCCATGTCTCGAGCTTCAAGCAGAACGGTGATTGCGATGGTATACATTTTGCTCGTGGAAACTGATACAGATAGACAACACCTGAACATATGATATATTTAGCAGGCATGAACAAAGTCCGGTGTTATCACTGCCATTCACTGAGCAGATCACAAAACCGAACAACAGTTTTATTCCGTGATTATAGCTAACCCTGCTTATAATCATCCTTGATTGGTGTTTTCCTCGCACGCGTTGTGAAATATTTGTAAGGAATGTAGAGAGCTAAGGCAAATCCGCCAGCGACAGCATACTTCCCCCACGTCGGTAGCTCATCATAAAACTTGATAACCTGTTCGCGCAACGGATCAACCATTTGCTGAAATTGCGTCAAAAAAATACATTATTTTCAGCGTACCTGAAGATATGACTACAGCGGTTACAAATATGATCACACCTACGACCAACATACTTTGGTACCTGGAACACGTGCAATACGTATTTCTATTTTCATCACAACCACCGTTCGCCCTTCTGCTTTCGTCAGCTCCATACGATACTATTCTCAGTGAAGTGATATTAAAGAGGTGACTATGGCCCTTCTGATTTGAAATCATGAGCACATCAACGGTGTTGTGAAATTCGCACCGACCTGCAGCCCTTCTACGTGCAGTCTTTTGCTGAAAGTTGTGTCGCATACCAACTCCTAGGCATCGCATCGCATATCACATCCTTGCTAAGGCTGTCATCTTTCCACACCAGCACCACCTATATGCAATGTGGCAGTGACGACATGAACACAGAGAAACACTTTTTGATTTTTTGATGCATTTGTTTACAGGCCTACTTTCTTTGTGCATTATGCTCGTTCAGCGTCGCCACTGCGGAATATAGCAAATACCTCCTGCGCTTTTTTAAGCACATCTCCGCTACTTTCGACAGCGATTCTGGTTCTTACAGTTTTCCTTCAACTTCTCTTTGATATGTCTGCAGAGCAGCGAGCACTGCATGTTTCGAGTCCTCATCTCGATGCCAAAAATTCGTAGATATGGAAAAACATTTCAACGCAGCATTTGCAGTTTTGGACATTGCCAACCGTCACAATTCCGTCGGTTCTGTTGATCGCTTCGTCCTCCTTTCATCGATTTTTCGGAAGAACAAGGAGAGGTACAATTGCGACGATTTACCAAATACGAATATGTATATTCTTACCCGCAATACGCAATGACCTCTTTTGGCCGAAACTTTACACAAACATTTTTTGTCGCCACTGCCGTACTAGCCTATCATTCCTGACGTTTCTCTTGCCAATTTCACATTTAGCGGCGCATTTCTCTTTATCTTTTTCCCTCGTTCGAATTTCCTTTGAAGTCATTCATAACGACATCAGTGTGGATCTGACAAGTCATGCAATTTTAAACTCGGTACAAAAATTCCATATTTCATCGTCGTCGCTGGCTATAGCAAGATCGCCAGTTTGGATGACTCTCAAGTTCTTACAAGAATCTAGTCCGAGGTGAAGTAAAATGCTTTGCGATAAACGAAACTGAGAGGACACGATTTGTGAAGACTTCTTACTGATAAAAGGCACGACTCTGCTGGCACTCCTTGTCCTTTTGCTCCGCCCCAGAAATTGTTTACGATTCTTCAAGGTTACAATTTGTTCGTCCTTTCGACAAGCGCCGAATATTCGTCCCTGAACAGCAATCCACGGCTGTTAGAGTGGCAGAAAGTCCAAATCATTCCGTAACAGAACATTTTGATTACCTGAGATTTTTAGCGGTTCCTCGCCCTCCGATCGCTAATCCGCCATCATGACCCGGCCAGGTGCACGCAAGGTGCTGCGGCCCGTTTTAATATGCTTCATTCATGTTATTTACCACACCACATCACAGAGCGCACATTCTGCATTTCACACATTGCTCTGTGACCTTTATACTTGCTAGTTAAGCTATCAGTGGGCTGAACTGTCCGGGCCTGTCGCGCATGGTACCTTCTTCGCATGCTTGGAACTGCCAGAGCTTGTATCTGCTATGCGTCGCCAACCTACTTCTAAACAGGCATTACAATGGGCTATTTGAATCAAAAATTTGAAGCTTTCTATAAGTATAAATATGCAGTTGTACCATCATAAAATTACATAATTTACACTTATGTACGCACAAATTCGCTAATATGGGATATCCACACTCACTGCCCGGCTGGTATTAAGTATTCCTGTCAAAGACAGAAAACAGAATGTTCTTATCTTAATTTACATCAGCTGAACTTTTTGATTTCCTTAACAACCTAGGCTGCGACACACACCAGGTTTGCATACACGATCACTCGTTTTTGCGCTAAACTTGAAGCAATCAAATCTTCAGCATATGAATGGTTGCTACTTTACATTTAACCCGTGCGTTCACTATCGTAAATTTTGCATGGAAGAAAATAATTTCCAATAAACGGTCGCTCATTAAAAACGACCAAACTGTTCTGGTTCTGAAGTCAGCAATTTTCCTGCCAAAAATTTGACGTCCTCAGACATGAGAACCAAGCATGCTTAGGAACTGAACATGAAATCTTTAAATTGTGTGTGGACTGGGAACATCCTGTCAATTTAGCTTTCTATTCTTCCTGGTTCTCGG